TACTACGAGTAGTAGCAGTACCACCAGCAGTACTACTAGTACTACCACCAGTACCACAAGCAGTAGTACTACTACTACCACCACCACAAGTACAACAACAAGTAGCAGCAGCACCACAAGTAGTACTACTACGAGCAGCAGCAGCACCTCAAGTAGCACCACTACTACCACTAGTACTACAACAAGTAGCAGTAGTACGACAAGTAGTACTACCACCAGCAGTACCTCAAGTAGCACTACCACCACCACCAGCAGTACTACAACAAGTAGCAGTAGTACCACAAGTAGCAGTACAACGAGTAGTAGCAGTACTTCAAGTACTACTACTTCGAGTAGCAGTAGTACATCAAGTAGCACTACTACTACCACTACCACCACTAGCAGTACTACTACAAGCAGTACCACTACGAGCAGTAGCAGTACTTCAAGTAGTACTACCACGAGCAGCAGTAGTACCTCAAGTAGCAGCAGTACTACTACTACTACCACCACTAGCAGTACCATTACAAGCAGTAGCAGCACTACAAGTAGCAGTACCACAATTAGTACTGCTACTACCACTAGCAGCACCTCAAGTAGAACGGCTTCCATCACAACTTCTCAAGGATTAGATATCAATGAAAGTAATAGTATGAATAATATAAAAAATATAGTTTATCGATTTTTCTTTTCTAAACTAGCTTGCTATTCACCAACGATCACATTGATTCCTGGACAATCATCTCTATCATCTCCAATGTCATATCGACGTAGTCAAGATTTTTATATTAGTTCAATGATTCAATTTAATTGTGGTGGTTCGCTTTCAACAAGTACAAAATGGACAATAAAGAACTGTACTTCAACTAGATGTTCATTTGAAATTCTATTAAATGAGAAAGTTATGACAACATTTAGTGAACTTTATATTCCATCAAGAACTCTTGCTTATGGTGTTTATCAACTAACATTAACTGTAATAATGATTGATTCACCGAATTTAAAATCATCATCTTCAGCTTATGTGAGAATAACGGCAACAGGTATAACCGCAAATCTTGTTCAATTAGGAACATCTATGATAACACGAGGTGATCAACAGGATCTTTTACTTGATCCTGGAACATTTTCAGTCGACCCTGACGAAGATATATTTGATGCAACTGTAAGTATAAATATCTGTAGGTGAATATTCAAATAATTGTTATCTTATTCGTAATTATAGAAATGGAAATATACATATTATTGTCGAATTTATGGTTTGTATAATTTTCCAAATATACACGGAATATTATTATCAATTGATGATTCTACAATTGATCCTTATAATCCATCATGTTTAACAACTCGATCAGGTAAAATTATTAATGAACATCTAGTTCAATCATTTTTATTATTTTTTAAAAAGGAAATGAAACAAAATTCATATTTGGAAATTCCACTTTATCACCCAGTTCATCTCTAACAATTCTCGGTGGTTCACTTCAATCGTATCAAATCTATCAGTTTATGATTTATATGGAGAATCATAGGAATTCTTCTATTCAAGCAACAGGTTATGTACTCGTTACAGTTGAAGTTACTCATCCACAACTGATTGCTGTTGGGTAAATTCTTTACGAATTTTTACTTGAATTATTCAAATGAAAAATATTTATTTTAGTTGTGTAATATCAACAATGTGTGTTCCAAATCTTGAATTTCAACTTCTTAATCCAACAACACAAGTTGCTCTATTTACTATTTGTATTGGGACTTGTACAAATCTTCAAAGTATTAAATGGAATATTTATCAAGGATCAGACAATTCAACATCTTCAAATTATACACAATGGACTTTATTTAATCAAACAAGTTCCTATGAAAATATTTGGTTTTTTGGTAAAAATCTTGTTTTTTTAATTATTAGATATATTCGTTGATTATTTTAGGTACAAATACAAGTAATTTCACGGCAACAGATCTATTATTTCTTAATAATCTTCAAACAAATCTTTGGCGTTTTGAAGTTGTTTATACATTTCTATCTGCAATAAGTACAAGTGCATTGAATTTTATTATTAATCAACCGCCTGCAAATGGTTCGTGTTCAATCAATCCTCTTAGTGGTACTATAACTACTTTATTCACTATTAAGTGTCCAGATTGGTATGATGTAGATGGAATACAAGATTATTCATTATATGGTATGTTTTATTTTCATTAAAGACTGACTTTTGTACTTTCTGTCATTTTAGCATGGACAACAGACATATCACAACGAACAATAATTGCATTTTCATCAGAATATAATTTTCAAGTTCGATTACCAACTGGTGATAACGAAACTTCGTTACTTAATCTTGTTGTTTATGTTCGAGATCTTGCGGGCTCTGTTACACAAGTGAATATATCTTCTGTTAATGTTATTGCAGATACCGCAACAATCAATGATTTAATTGATAAAATAACAAATTCACCGAGTACAATAACAAATAATCCGATCGTTCGATTACTTTCAAGTGGAAATCAAAATGTTGTTGGACAAATAATGACTTCATTATCTCAAGAATTCAATCAAATGAATAGTGACAATTTAGATAAAGCTATATTAAGTAAATATTGATATTCAATTTATGAAAAATAATTAAAATAATCTTTCTTAGGTGGAATACCAGCTGCAACTATTTTAGTATCGTCATTAGGAAGTCAAAGTCTACAACAAGTAATTGAATTTCATAGATTTTTTTCGATTCTTTTTTTTTTTTAAAATAGATTTCAATACCATTGAATGAATCAGCTTTGATTAATTATAATACAGAATTAAATTCTCTAGCAAATGTTCGAGATTATCTAGTAACATTTATAACTAATCTACTTATAACAACATCAAATAGTATTATATTACAATCATCATCATTAGTTCAATTAACTCAAGCAACAAATCAATTAACACGAAATACTTTAGTAAAATTATAAAGAATATTTATATTGAAGAAGATTTTTATACTTTTTTAAATAATTCTAGATACTTATATCAAATCGATGTTATGAATTATCTGCTGCTTTATATGCAATATTTGAAAAAATCTCATATGAAGATGCTCAATCAGCATCAAATCAACTTTTTCAATGTGCTTCAAATCTTTTAAATGTAAAACATATGAAATCAGTATTCTTACTTCAGCATTAAACTAGGATTTATTATGAGGAAACGATTCTGGGTAAAAATTACTTTCTGAGAATCATCGAACATGGCAGTAATAAGTACTGTATGAGCCACACCTTCGACTGGAAGGAGAGAGGTTAGACTAGAAAGAGTATATATATAGTATTTCTCAGGTGTCACAAAGTACCAGCACGGTTTCTAAAGATTTTAACATAAAAAAAATTTTCTTCAATTATTAATCCTAATAATTTTAGGCTGTGAATGGACCATTGCAAGGACGAACAGAAGTACTTGATTTAGATAACTCTCGTGCAAATGTCATATCTACTGATTATGATACTGATCTTGAATCTGCATGGTCCAATTTAAGTAAGATCTTTTAAATGATTAATTATTATTGAATTTGAATTTTTTGTTTATGAAGATTTATTTTCTGATGGAAATGATTTTTCTACTGAAACAATTGAAAAAAATCGAAATATTTATTATCAAAAACAATTATCAAATCAAATCAATAGTCAAGTGACACAAATCATATCGCTATTAACTTCTTCATTAAATATTCATTTAAATATTGGTCAAAGTTCTATAATAAATACATCTCAATCATTTGTATCATTAGAAACTATATCAATTGCATCACTCAAAGATAGACTTGTGAAACAAGTTGAAAATACTCAATTTAGTATTCCATCAGATTTTATTTTGAACACAACGTCTAATTCTTCAATTTCACTTCGAGTAATATTCTACAATTTGAATCATTTTTATTAATTTATTTTTTGTTTTATTTAGTCAAGAGTAGATCCACTGGCTTCATTTGGAAATTTTCAAAATACAAATCTTTCAAGATCAATTGCACTTTCAATTATTGATCAAAATGGAAATGAAGTTTCTTTTCAAGCCCATCAAAATAATCCAATACAATTGATTATTCCTCGTGATCTAAATGTATTAATACCATCCATGTATTTACAAAATGTTACATCGATTAATTCAACTATTAATAATTTACTATTCAATTATCATTATATTAATATAACAAGTTCTCTTCCAATTTCAGTTCATTTTGAAATTCATTCTTTAAATACAAATTTAGCTTATTTATTTATTTATAAATTTGATCAAACACCACAATTAAATAGTTCAATTAATCTCATTGATGGATGGACAATGTTTTGTCCTTTCAGTATGTTTTCTTTTCTTGAACATTCATATAGCTTTCTTTTTTGTAATTATAGATTTAACCAATGATGATATATATCGATATTTTATTGATAATCAACAAACACTCGGTCATCAATCATTAATATTTGGAATAAGAGAATTAAATTCAACAGAAATGAATAATTATTGTTTAAATAATTCTTCAATAAATACGTCTTTACCAATTACCGACCAATCAATTAATTTTACATCAAATTATGAACTTCGTCTATATACATCAGGTTGTTATTATCTTGATGAAAATAATAATTGGAAATCAGATGGACTAATAGTTGGTCCTTTGACAAATCTCTATGAAACTGAATGTCTTTCAACTCATTTGACAACATTTGCTGGTGGTTTTATTGTTTTACCTGCACCAATTAATTGGAGTTATGTTTTTGCAAATGCTGATTTTATGAAAAATAAAACAGTTTATTTAACAATGATATTTACTTCAATAATTTATATTATTTTAATGATTTATGCACGTTTTAAAGATAAGAAAGATTTTGAAAAAGTAAACTAAAAACATTACTTTATATATTTTATAAAGTCAAACTTTGTGATTTTTTTTAGTTGGGAGTAACACCATTGGCTGATAACAATAAATCTGATCAATATTTATATCAAATTCTTGTTTTTACTGGTCAAAGAACAAATGCAGGAACAGATTCAAAAGTAATATAGTACAAAGAAAAGAATATTTTAATGAAACTTTTTTTCTTTCTGCAAGGTTTATTTTGTTTTATCGGGTGGTGATGATCAAACACAAATCCGGTTATTTTCTGATCCTCATCGAAAAATTCTTCAACGTGGTGGAATTGATTCTTTTATTATTGCTGTTCCAAAGTAAAATTATTATTTTTCTAAAGATTTTATAAAAGATTAATATTTAGATCATTGGGATTATTGAATTATATTCGTATATGGCATGATAATTCAGGCGAAGGGTCTTGTGCATCATGGTTTTTAAAATATATTATTATTCGAGATTTACAAACTATGGATAAATTTTATTTTATTTCTCAACAATGGTTTGCAGTTGAAAAAGATGATGGACGAGTAAGTCGTGTAATAGAAACCATACTATTTCTTATTTTTGTCTTCAATTTAGATTGAAAGAACTTTACCAATTGCTAGTGAAGCGGAAAAACAAGACTTTTCATATGTATTATCAAAAAAAGCTTATCATAGTGTTTCCGATGGTCATTTATGGTTTTCAATATTTTCTCGTCCACCATCAAATAAATTTACACGTACTCAACGATGTACTTGTTGTTTCGTTTTATTCTTTACTTCGATGTTAATTAATATAATGTATTATGATTTATCAAATGAAGCGGACGCATCAAGTGAAACACATAGTGGTGCTTCATCAATTGGTCCTTTTTATATAGCACCGCAACAGGTATATATTGATTTTTATAGCGAAAAACATAGACTACACCCACATCCTTATGCCTCTGAAATTTCTGATTAGTGAAAGCATCTTTTTATATTTAAGATTGGAATTGGTATAATGGTCGAATTATTTACACTAATTCCAAGTCTCTTAATTGTTCAATTCTTTCGACGAATTCAACCTCGTCAACAAATTTCACGATTACGTGAAGCATTGTATAAGATACAAACATCTCGAAAAACGTTCGTATATATTTCTAAATACAATCATCGACACTCACATTCTTAATTATAGTAGTTCGACTAATGCCCCTGCAATTAAGAAAAAGAAATCTTCAATAACATTTCCTTGGTGGTGTTTATTTATTGCTTATGGTCTTTCAACGATAATTATTGCTGTTTCAATATTTTTTATCATTGTTCGAGGAATTGAATTTGGTGATGTTAAAACTCAACAATGGTTAACATCTGTTCTTACTGGTTTTTTCTCATCAGTTATTTTTACTCAACCTATCAAAGTATACTTTCTATTTTCTTTTAATCTATATTTTTGAAATATTTTCGCATTGAAGATTATATGTTTGGCTATATTCTTCATATGTTTCTGTCGAAATTCAAAAGAGGAGAAAGAAACAAGTGAATATATAAATGAAGATGATGAATTTAATATATCTAATGATGAGGAGTATCTTCATTCGCTTGAGGTTTGTTTCCTTTTAGAATTTTATAGAAAAATAACTTTTCCATTTATAGTATCACTCATTATTTTCTCCTCAATCTCGAAAAAGTATTAATCGCCTTAATGAAAATGAAATTGTTTATGCTCGTGATCAACGTTTAAAAGAAATTCAAATGTGGGCAGTTATTCGGGAATTTCTGATTTATTTTATATTTGCCATATTAGTTTTTATAATAACTTATTCAAACCGTGAACAACATAGTTTTTATCAAGTCAGTCATTTACGGGCTTATTTTCTCAATCAAAGACAAACGACTGCTGATTATACTAAAGTTTGTTCTTCTTTTCTTGTATTGAAATGAATTTTATTTTTCTAGATCAGTACAATCGATGAATATTGGTATTGGTTAGAAAATAGTTTTGTTTCAAATATTCGTGCACAACAATGGTATAATGGAGATATCCCACAATATTTAAATGGATTTTTAAATGATAAATCTAGTCGATTAAT